CGATTTCCCCTTCTTTGAGAAGTGTGAATTGCTAGATTCCTGGAAGGGCCTTTTTCCTTTTGAGATAGAGCTGATGGGACGGTGAGTGCTTGAACTGACATTATTTGTCTTCAGATACTCAATGCAAGCACTCAAGTCGCTGTCTGCCCTGGCTATGAGATCATAGGCCTCCGCGAAATCCACGGTGGTTAGGACGGACACACGCGACCTAAGGTCAGGTCGAAGTTTCTTCCTGAATTCCTCGATGCGATCGGTTGGGGTACTCACCAAGGTTGGTGCAAACTTAGCAAGACTGGTAAACTTCTGACGATACTCGGGGAGTGTCATGTCTCCCTGTTGCAATTCGACAAATTCCTTAAGTTTTTCTTCACTAAAACGTTTTGGAATATATTCTTGTTTGAATGCCCATTCGAAATGTGTCCATGTCCATGGCTTAGGGGTTCCTGCACTCTCATCAGTCCTCTTCCACCACTCGTAGGCTTCCTTGCGAAGTAGCTGAGACGCTAGTCGGGGATAGTTGCCAATGGGTACGTTAAGATCCTCCAACACTCGAGCAAACTGCTCGATCCAGTCCCATGCAATTTGGGGTTCACCGATGCGATCCCCAAGGAATAACTCTGCACCGTTATCTCTTAGCGTTTTGTAGGTTATCACTTGAGGTGGCGGTGGTGGAGGTGGTTGAAACATTGGCGCGTTGGCTATTTCTTGCAACACATTAGCTAGAAAAGCTAGAATCACAAGGTCGGGTTGACCACCAGCGTTTGGGTTATTCCCAACATTTTGTTGATTGACGGGTTCATTTTGGACGGGAGGGGTAAAACTAGATGCTTCAGTATGAACACTGACGTGTTCATTGTTGCCTTGTCCGTGGGCGGATTCTTGACTCATTCTACAATAACAGAAATTCCTTTATTAGGATTCTTTTATCAGTAGTTGAGTTTAAGACAGGAATTGCAAAGGGTTACAATAGTTGATACAATCAATGGATTTGAAACCAACAATAAGATAATTTTCTAAGCGTTTGCGTTCGATTGGTTGGATCGTGCCTGACCCACATACACTACTGGCAGAGTCTACGCTGAACGTCTCCTCTGGGTCATCTCGTTCCCATGCAGCCTTGCGGCGCAGATAAATCCTTCGTTTCATTATTCTTGCGAATCGATGTGCACGTTGGTAACGTATCAACGAGTCATAGACATTTCGTTTGTTCTTTCGTCTTTTACCAAGTACGAAAGTGCGACTTGAATCAACACTTGATATCATTTCCGAATTAACAGTTGACATCTATAAAATTTGATACAGTCAATTTCAATACTCATTTTTTTAATTACCTTCCTGGAGCAGAGGGATGCGAGTGTCGTGGATTTGATTGACATCATTTTTTTTCTTGGCCGAAATACATATATAATATGTAAAATATATATTTTTTTATATCCAAGTTTTGATCCGAAGATCGGGTTTAAAACCATTTGCTCTGATACCAAATTGTAACACCCTAATCCGTCCAGGTTTACAGCCCCTTCCGAACTAAAGTATTAACTTGGTAATCGTATAATTTAAAACATTTCAAATAACTTTATTCATCATAAATGAAATTCCAAACATAATTGTAGTAAATACGGAGTGTTTAATGC